CCATTCTTTCCTCATAAAACTGTCTTGGCACTTTTGTCCCAAATCAATTGATCATAAATGTAAGGGTTTATTTCTGGATTCTCAGTTCTATTCCACTGATCTATATTTGTTTATTTACTCTAGTAGCACACTGTCTTGATTAGCTTTGTAATAACTTTTGGAATCAGGAAATGTGAGTCCTACCTTTGATCTTTTTTAGATTGTCTTGATTATTCTTGCATTTCTATATGAATTTGGAAAGTGAAAGGGTTAGTTGCTCACTCCTGTCTAGCTCTTTGCAACCCAATGGACTGTATAGCCCACCAGGCTCCTCTGCCCATGGGATTTACCAGGCAAGAATACTCGAGTGGGTTGCCATTCCCTTCTTTAAGGGATCTTCCTGACTCAGGGGTTGAACGTTCATCTCGTGCATTGCAGTCAGATTCTTTACCTTCTGAGCCACCTGGGAAGCCCACATGAATTTTTGGATCAGCTTATTAATGTCTGCAAAAAATGCAGCCAGGATTTTGATAGCGATTGCCTTTGAAGGGATAGATCAAGTTGGTGAATGTTGCCATTTTAACAATATTAAATGTTCTGGATGTTTTCCCATTCATTTAGGTTTTCTCTAGCTTCTTTTAATGGTGTTTAGAGTTTTCTTAAAATCTGTTTTGTGTAGCTTGTATTAGTATAATATAGGCCTGGGTCTCTTTTGGTTATTATTTGCATGGAATATCTTTTATCCTTTCCCTTTCAACCTGTCTGTGTCTTTAACTATTAATTGTGTTTTCGTAGACATAATAATGTTGGACTTTTTAAAATACACACTTCTACTTTTTGCCTTCTGGAATGTTAATTACATTTAATGTAATTACTAAGGTAGGATTTACATCTGTCATTTTGCTATTTTCACTCTCCTTCCATTCCTGCCTTCTTTTGTGTTAAACATATATTTTCTAATACATTATTTTAATCCTCTTGTCTCTTTTACTGTACATTTTTGAGTTATTTTCTTAGTGGTTACTCTGGAGATTACAATTAACATCTTGATTTAAAACAATCTAGTTTAAATTAATACCAACTTAATTTCTCCATCTTTTGGGCAGGCTGGCCTGAGAGAAAAGAGGGGCAGGCTTTACATAGGAATGGTGTGGTGGGTTAAATACTGGCCCACAAAAGAATATGGACATGCCCTATTCCCTGGAGCTTGTGAATATTACTTTATTTGGGAAAAAAAAAATCTTTGCAGATATAATTAAGTTAAAGATCTCAAGATGAAATCATCTTGAATTATCTAGAAGGGTTCTCAATCCTATGAGAATTAAAAGTATTTAAAAGGAAATTAAAAGTCTTTAAAAGTAAAAGAAAGAAGAGACACAGGGAAAAGGAGAGAGGCCATGTGATGGAAGCAGAGACTGGAGTTAAGTAGCTACAAGCCAAGGAAAACCTGGAGCCACCACAGGCTCGAGGAGGTAAGAGATTGTTGTCCTGAGGGAGCATAGCCCTTCCAACACCTCAGTTTTGAATTTCCAGACTCCAGACCTGAGCGAGAATAAATTTCTGCTGTTTTAAGCCAGTCAGTTTATGGCTTAAACTAACACAGTGACCTTCAGTGTATTAGAGGCCGCTCACCAGTGGATGGCAGAGTCTGGTCTTCTCATCAGTAAACCATTCCACTTTTCTTTACATGGAGTGGGCTGCAACTGACATGTTTTTCTAATACTTCTGAGAAGGTGGAAGAAATTCTCACTTAATAGATTATAATGGGGGCACTAAGAGGAGAAAAATAGGATCTTCCTCTCCCCCGTTATGGGCTTCCCTGGTAGCTCAGCTGGTAAAGAGTTTGCCTGCAATACAGGAGACCCCAATTTGATTCCTGGGTCAGGAAGATCCCCCTGGAGAAGGAATAGACTAATCACTCCAGTATTCTTGGGCTTCCCTTGTGGCTCAGCTAGTAAAGACCTGGGTTTGATCCCTGGGTTGGGACGATCCCCTGGAGAAGAGAATGGCTACCCACTCCCGTATTCTGGCCTGAGAATTCCATGGACTATATAGTCCATGGGGTCGCAAAGGGTTGGACATGACTGAGTGACTTTCACTTTTCAGTTTTCTACACCCTTGTTTGGGCAGAGATGTTCAAGTTGGTTTTAGAAAAGGCAGAGAAACCAGAGGTCAAATTGCCAACATCTGCTGTATCATGGAAAAAGCAAAAGAGTTCCAGAAAAACACCTACTTCAGCTTTATTGACTATGCCAAAGCCTTTGACTGTGTGAATCACAATAAACTGTGGAAAATTTTGAGAAAGATGGGAATACCAGACCACCTGATCTGCCTCTTGAGAAACTTGTATGCAGGTCAAAAAGCAACAGTTAGAACTGGACATGGAACAGCAGATTGGTTCCAAATAGGAAAAGGAGGACATCAAGGCTGTATATTGTCACCCTGCTTATTTAACTTATATGCAGAGTACATCATGAGAAACACTGGGCTGGAGGAAGCACAAGCTGGAATCAAGATAACCGGGAGAAATATCAATAACTTCAGATATGTAGATGACACCACCCTTATGGCAGAAAGTGAAGAACTAAAGAGTCTCTTGATGAAAGTGAAAGAGGAGAGTGAAAAAGTTGGCTTAAAGCTCAACATTCAGAAAACTAAGATCATGGTATCCAGTCCCATCACTTCATGGCAAATAGATGGGGAAACAGTGAAAACAGTGGCTGACTTTATTTTTCTGGACTCCAAAATCACTGCAGATGGTGACTGCAGCCATCAAATTAAAAGACGCTTACTCCTTGGAAGGAAAGTTATGACCAACCTAGACAGCATATTAAAAAGCAGAGACATGACTTTGCCAACACAGCTCCGTCTAGTCAAGGCTATGGTTTTTCCAGTGGTCATGTATGGATGTGAGAGTTGGACTGTGAAGAAAACTGAGCGCCGAAGAATTGATGCTTTTGACCTGTGGTGTTGGAGAAGACTCTTGAGAGTCCCTTGGACTGCAAGGAGATCCAACCAGTCCGTCCTAAAGGAGCTCAGTCCTGGGCGTTCATTGGAAGGACTGATGTTGAGGATGAAACTCCAATACTTTGGCCACCTGATGGGAAGAGCTGACTCATTTGAAAAGACCCTGATGCTGGGAAAGATTGAGGACAGGAGGAGAAGGGGACGACAGAGGATGGATGGTTGGATGGCATCACTGACTCAGTGGGCACGGGTTTGGGTGGACTCTGGGAGTTGGTGATGGACAGGGAGGCCTGGTGTGCTGCGGTTCATGGGGTCGCAAGGAGTTGGACACGACTGAGTGACTGAATTGAACTGAACTGAATTGGTTTTCATCAGAAGTAATTTGAAATCTCAAAAATCCTAAGGCATTTTAGAGCTGTGAAAAGGTGCTTTTTAAATGTGCCTACGTCCAATGTAATATTATGTTTAAAAAGTAGGAGATACAATTGTATGTATGCATGATAAAAATATGAGATGAAGATACCCAAAACTCTTTAAGCAGTTAGTGGTGAAAAATAGCTTGAGAAAGAGTTTACAAGGAAGAGAACAGGATTATGTAAAAGAAATTTGGTGTGTGTACTGGGCAGAAGTTTTTTATGAAAACTGATCGAAACAAGGGTGTCAGTTCAATTCAGTTGCTCAGTCGTGTCCAACTCTTTGCGACCCCATGAACCGCAGCACGCCAGGCCTCCCTGTCCATCACCAACTCCCAGAGTCCACCCAAACCCGTGCCCACTGAGTCAGTGATGCCATCCAACCATCCATCCTCTGTCGTCCCCTTCTCCTCCTGTCCTCAATCTTTCCCAGCATCAGGGTCTTTTCAAATGAGTCAGCTCTTCCCATCAGGTGGCCAAAGTATTGGAGTTTCATCCTCAACATCAGTCCTTCCAATGAACGCCCAGGACTGAGCTCCTTTAGGACGGACTGGTTGGATCTCCTTGCAGTCCAAGGGACTCTCAAGAGTCTTCTCCAACACCACAGGTCAAAAGCATCAATTCTTCGGCGCTCAGTTTTCTTCACAGTCCAACTCTCACATCCATACATGACCACTGGAAAAACCATAGCCTTGACTAGACGGAGCTGTGTTGGCAAAGTCATGTCTCTGCTTTTTAATATGCTGTCTAGGTTGGTCATAACTTTCCTTCCAAGGAGTAAGCGTCTTTTAATTTGATGGCTGCAGTCACCATCTGCAGTGATTTTGGAGTCCAGAAAAATAAAGTCAGCCACTGTTTTCACTGTTTCCCCATCTATTTGCCATGAAGTGATGGGACTGGATACCATGATCTTAGTTTTCTGAATGTTGAGCTTTAAGCCAACTTTTTCACTCTCCTCTTTCACTTTCATCAAAACAAATTCAAAGTATTTTTTCCTCTGATTAAACACACACATATATATACATATATATATTTTTAAATATTTATTTATTTATTTGGTTGTTCTGAGTCTTGGGCTTGCCAGGTGACAGTAGTGGTAAAGAACCTGCCAGTGCAGGAGACATAAGAGATGCCCATTCGATCCCTAGGTCGGGAAGATCCCCTACAAGAGGGCATGGCAACCCACTCCAGTATTTTTCCCTGGAGAATCCCATGGGCAGAGGAGCGGGCAGAGTCGGACAGCACTGAAGTGACTTAGCACGCAGGCTGGGTCTAAATTGCACCATTCGGCATCTTTAGTTGCTACATGAGAACTCTTACTTGGCAGCATGAGGGAGATATTGTAATACTCTTATTGAGATAGAAAAATGTAGGATTAATTGGAGTTAGACTGGAGTTAGACTGCTTTCAAATCCCAGTTCAAAACTCAAAACATGTGACCTTAGGCAGGTGACAGAACTCTTGCCTTACCTCTGTAATCTCTAGCACTGTGGTAAGGGTACACACATACTGCTTACAGCAATGTCTGGCATATATCAAACTCTCAATGAGTTATTAAATTTTTAAAAATATAAACTTTAATGAACAAAATATTGTGAAAAATCATTTTCCCTTTCATTTTGTTTATGGAAAGTAGTTACTATGCAAGGAACATCACAAAATTTTCATTATCACTTTATGGAAAACAACCTCACAAAAAAGTTGCAAGTACAATCAAAAAAAATTCTCAAAAACATTCCAAAAAAAATTTTCTCCCCAAACCACTTGAGAGTAAGTTGCAGACTTGATACCACATCATACCAAACAAGAACATTATCCTACAAACACCACAGTAAAATCATGAAGGCCGTTAAATTAATCCAGAAACACAATCCTCATACATTAGTCAAGGACATCACCATTTGTCTTAATATGCCCATTTTAGCAAAAGAATCAAGTTCAGACTCACATGTTATTTAAATTTCATTCTACAGGAAAAATGCAATCCTGTGTTTCTCCTCTACTCTCAACACTGCATCACTACTTCACTTCTGACACCATAGTGTATGAGGGTTTTCCCCACAATTATCTGATAACAGCTGGTTGTCCTCCAATTTAACTCAATTCTGACCTTATCTACCTGGAGATAGCATCGGCTCCCACAGGTTATGGGCTGACTGCACCCTTCTCAACCCTCCACCTACTCTCTCTCTCTCTCTCTCTCTCTCTCTCTCTCTCAGCATAGGTTGTCACCTATGTTTCTGACCAACTGGCTATAAATTGAAGGTTCCTGCAAGTGCTTCCTTGAGGTCCATAAGTTTGCTGGAGCAGCTCACAGAACTCAACAAAACATTTGCTCTCTAGATTAGCAGTTTGTTGTAAAAGGATATCACTTAGGGATAGCAGATGGAAGAGCTGCATAGAGCAAGGTATGTGGGAAGGAATGCAGAGCTTCAGACCTCTGTGTGTCTCCATCCCAGCACTTCCTTATGTTCTCTCTACACCCCATTCTTTCAGGTTTTTATGGAGGCTTCATTACACAGGCAGGATTGATTAAATCGTTGGCCATTGTTGATGGAAGTCACTGTTCAGTGCCTTTCCCCTCCCCAGATGTCTGGAGTGGGAGGGGTCTAAAAGTCCCCTCCCTCTAACCAGGTTTGGTTCCCCTGGCAACTGCCAACCTTAGGTTATCTAAGGGCTTTCCAAAAGCCATTTTATTAACATAAACTCCCATGTGGTGAATGGGTTTGTTATGAAAACAAAATATCTCCATTTCACTTTATATTCTGAGGCTATTTCAGGAACTGAGGCCAAAACTAAATATTATAACCAAAGATGCCCCTGTGGCTCTTATATAAGAAATTAAAGATCCCCTGGAGAAGGGAGTGGCTACTCACTCCAGTATTCTTGCCTGGAGAATTCCATGGAGAGAGGAGCCTAGTGGGCTACCATCCAAGGGGTCACAGTCAGACACAACTGAGCGACTAACAGTTTCACTTTCGTAAGAGTTTTAGGAGGTATATACCAGGAATAGTGAACAAAGATCAAATATATATTTCTTCTTGTAAGTCACAGTGAAAGTGAAAGTCACTCAGTTGTGTCCAACTCTTTGCAACCCTATATAGTCCGTGGAATTCTCTAGAGAATACTGGAGTCGGTAGCCTTTCCCTTCTCCAGGCGATCTTCCTAACCCAGGGATCAAACCCTGGTCTCCTGCATTGTGGGCGGATTCTTTACCAGCTGAGCCGCAAGGAAAGCCCATAAATCACAGTATTACACTCCTTTTATGTGAAACAGTTCCCCAATCTTTCCTTGACTATCATGACCTTGACAGTCTTAAAGATTACAGGCCAGATATTCTATAAAACATTATTTAGTTTTGTTATGTCTCAAGTTTCTTCATGACTAATTCAGATTATCCATTTTTAGCAGAAACATAACGTAAGTGATGATGAATTTTTCTCACTACATCCCATCTGGTGGTACATGATTTCAATTTCATGATACTCACTTTGATCATTTGATTAAGGTGGACTGTCAGGCTTTTACACTGTAAAGTTACTCTTTTTCTATACTTTGAGACTATCATTGATGAAAAAATTAAACAATCTAAGAAGGAAATGGAAAATTTAATTTGAGATAGTTAAAAGGAGTTACTTTATCCAATTATAAATTGGATTATAGGATTATAATCTGGGAAGTGAAGTGAAGTGAAGTCACTCAATCCTGTCTGACTCTTTGCCACCCTATGGACTGTAGTCCACCAGGCTCCTCTGTCCATGGGATTCTCCAGGCAAGAATACTGGAGTGGGTTGCCATTTCCTTCTCCAGGGGATCTTCCTGACCCAGGTCTCTGCATTGTAGATGCTTTACCATCTGAGCTACCCTGTCTCCTAAAAACCTTTGAGAACTGTTCCATCTATTAAAGGTCAAATTTAGAGGGCTATACATTAAATAATGTGTTATGACAGCTTATACAATCCAGATCTAAGCAAGTTCACAGGCCATCATGGCCCCTTACAAGATTAAGAAGAAGAAAAAAAAAAAAAAAGATTAAGAAGAAAGGTTATCTTCTAAGGAGTTGTGACCCTTGATTAAGTTAAGAGGAATTGTTGTCTCTTAAAGAGACAACAATTAATATAAGTGCAAAATACACTTTAAAGGGGGGAGGGAGGAGACCTACATAGACAAAGAACATTTTTTTAAAATTTTTCTTGTCTTGCTATTAAAAAAAAATAGAAAAAAAGAAAAAAAAAGTCTTCCCTTGTTGCTTAGACGATAAAGAATCTGCCTGCCATTTGGGAGCCTGGGTTGGGAAGATTCCCCCAGAGAAAGGAATGGTTACCCACTCCAGTATCCTTGCCTGGAGAATTCCACGGACAGAGGAACCTGGTGGGCTCAACTAGTGACTAACACTTTCACTTTGTCATAAAATAGAAATTTATTTCATCACCATGAAAATATCTTTTTCCTAATGAGACATTTACTATACCAATAAAAACTCATGAATCCCTATGTTTTATTTAGTGGGCTATTGGCCATTCTATCATTCATTTTGATGTTCAAGTTCCCCCAGATTGAGCCAGCCAGAGTCCTTTCAAATTGGTTTCTGTATCCCTTTGACATCTCTCTTCCATTTTTCTTTTCTTTTCTTTTTTTTTGAGTACTGCTTTACTTTCTGGCACAGCTAAAGGTCCTAGGATCATCCTGTACTTTTTCTGGCCCAATCCTGATCAGTCACTTAGCCGAAGAATCCTGGTGAAACCATGCATCTCAGGTTGGGACTTGAACCCATGGTTTTCCAATGAGATCACACACCTGGTCTCAGGGTTTAATGAAGTTCAGGTTCTTGATGTCTTATCGTAGAAAATTCAAAGAGAGACAAAGTGATAGGTAGGAAGTGGATTTATTTAGAGAGAAACACACTCCACAGACAAGAGTGTGGGCCATCTCAGAAGGCGAGAGAGGCCCCAAGGTATGGGGTTGTCAGTTTTTAGGCATGCGTGCTCAGTTGTGTCCAACTCTTTTGCAATCCATGGTCTGTAGCCCACCAGGTTCCTCTGTCCATGGGATTTTTCAGGCAAGAATACTGGAGTGAGTTGCCATTTCTTGTTCCAGGGGATCTTCCTGACCCAGGGATCAAACCTGGGTTTCCTGCATTGCAGACAGATTCTTTACCACTGAATCACCTAGAAAGCCCCTGTCAGCTTTTATAGGCATGGGTGATTTCATAGGCTAATGAGTGGGAGGAGTATTCCAGCTGTTTTGGGAGACAAGATGCGGATTTCCAGGAATTGGGCCACTGTCCACTTCTTGACCTTTGTGGTTGGTCTTGGAACCCTCATGGCCCTTGTGGATGTGTCATTTAGTTTGCTGATGTTTTATGATGAGTGTATATTGAGGCTCAAGGTCTATCGGAAGTTGGACGTTCTACCATCTTGGACCTAGTTAGTCCTAACCAGTTTATGTCGTATCCTCAAGGGTTATGTCATTCTTTTAAAGGTTGTGCGCTGCCCCTTTCCCTCCTGTTTCATAATCACCTCACATTTCCAGGTTTCTCGACCTGTGAGATGACCTACACATTGTCTGTGGAGTGCTTCTCCCAGGGCTGCTCTTGCCTTTTGAGTCAAACTGCATTCTGTCTATGGCATGTTTATCTCTAAATAAATCCACTTCTTACCTATCACTTTGTCTCTCCTTGAAATTCCTTCTGCACAGAGATGCAAAGAACCTGAGCTTCATTAAGTCTTGAGATCAGGTGTTTTCAAGTCCCAATCTGGGTTTTAGTTGGGTTGCAGTCCTAAGTTGTGCAGTTTTCAAATTTGCTGTTGAGCTGGCAGCAAGAGCAGCATTTCTAAAACATAAATCAGATTATGTCACTCCCCTTGCTTAGATCCTTCAGTCTATGTGCCTCAAGCAAAGTCAGACTCCGCTGGGGCTACAATACCTGGCAGGTCTGGCCCCTGCCAGAATCTCCAACTTCATTCTGTGCCATTAAAGCTGGATTAAAACTCCAGAAACTCTGAGCACCTAAAAAATAATGCCACTTCTGCCATATGAAATTACACATAAAAGCAACACGAAATTATAAAAGAAATTAAAGGAGGTCTTTGATTTTCTTTTATTTTTGAAATAACAATTTCTTTCCAAAAGTGTTCTCCACCTCCTCCACACTGGCTGCCTCTCTCTGCCTACTCCCACCTGGCCTTCCTTATAGCTCCTTCAGGCTGTTCCTTCTGTCCAAATTGCTTCTCTTACTCTCACTAGCCTCTTTTGCCCAGTTAACTCCTACTCATCCTTCAGACCTCACTGTAAAAGTCATTTCCAAAGAAAGCTTTCTCTGGGGACTTTGGCTAAATCAGCCCCCTGGGTTAGATTCACTTGGATCCAGTGTGTGTCACCCTGGGCTGGCCTATAAATTCACCAACTCATGTGCTCTCAGTTGGTACAAATATAGTCTGTGACACTGTGAAAACCACTGGAACCTAGGAAGAAGTGCTAGTCTCAGGGGCCAGAGGTTTGAGTCTTTGTCTCAGCTTTGCTACAAATTTCGAGTGACCTTGGACAAGCTCATTTCCTCTCCCTGGGGCTGTGTCCAGTGTGGGGAGGTATGAGGTCCCGCGTCATCCAAACATTCACTTCCTCAAGCATTCAGGCATTCATTGATTTTATTCAGGCAGTCATTTGCTCACTGAAGCTGATGGAGCCTCTGTGTCAGGATGCTGGGGTTGTAGAATGAAATCAAGAACAAAAGCCCAGAGTGGAATGGGCTAGACAAATATAAACCTCTCAGTATATGACAAGGCACATGAACACCTGCCCTAAGAGAGATCAGGCAGCTGCTGTGGGAACCTAGAGGAGGTAGCTACTATTGGCTTACATCTAGGGAGCCTCTTTGGAGAAAATGACCTTGAAGGGTTGAGAAAGGAGGAGAAATGCTGCCTGGGGACTTACCTTTCAGTGTACACACACTTGTTGGGTGTGTACAGGCCTTTGGGGGAACAGCCTCTTTGTTTTACAATTCTCCCCTGACTTTCTGCAAGAGTCTTGCTCTTCTAGTCCTGCCCCTTCAAAGCTGCATCTCCAAGGCTGCCTGAGGATCTTTCTAAACAACTTCCTGTTGCCTAAGATTAAACTCAAGTTCTTTAGCCTGGTGGTCAGGTTCTTTTCACCTGCCCCACCTTCCTTTTCTAGCCTGTCGTTCCTCCAGGCAGTTTTGGCTTCAGCCCTGTTTGACTATGCAAATGCTGTGTCTTCTACCTCCATGCCTTTGCTCATGCTGTTCCTTCTGCCTAGAATACTCTTTCTCCTCTAGAAAGCCTTCCTGCACAAGACATTGCAGTTAGCAATGTCCTCTTCTGTGCTTCCATTATGCTTTATCATCTCAGTGACGGCACTTGCCATGTTGTGCTGAAGTTATCTGTAAACTCCCTGCAGTCAGGGATTCTATTTGCATGGTTTCTGTCAATGTAGTAACAAGGCTGGACACCTGGTAAAGGTTTGGCCCTTGACTAAATAAGTAAGGGAATGGGAGAGAGAGGACACTCTCTTGTTGAAAGGAAGGGGATAGATTTAATTTAATTAGATTCAAGACGTAGAAATACCCATCTGCTCTGCCTTGCACTTATTTACCTAATGCATCACACCCAGCAGAGCTGGAGAATGAAGAGGGTGGAGGAAGAGGATGCAAAGTGTATTGGGACAAGTTTGGCTTTTTGGTTCTACAAACTGACATTTTGATTTTAGTACCCAACATGGTACTAATTGTTAAAACAGGAGTCATCCCCGAACCAAATGGCTCTAACCGTCTGTTGTTTATCTATCAAGCTTCTAATCGACCTTCAAGACCTTTGTGAAGCCTGCTCTGACCTTGCCCACCAGCCCGTGTAGAGCCTGTTAGTCCATTACCACCTGACCTTGATGTTTCTTCTACCATAGCATGTATACCGTATTTGGCCACCTTTTAAATTCATGCTCCTCATACTTGAATACTTGTTTCTCTAGTATATAACACTATAAATAACACTCTATAAAATATTATAATAGCTCGATTCTAAGTGAGTAAAAATATTTTAATGTTGAAACAAGTACAGCCATATGATGGAGTGAGACCCAAAATAATACAAGAGTCTCTAGAATGAAATAGTCTACGTAAAAGTAATGATAGGCAGCATTTATTGAACACATACTCAGCAGGATATTTCAGTTTTCTGCCATGTCCTTAGGGGTGAGTGCCAGCTCTCCTGGGGTTTGTGGCATGTAGGTGGAAAAGTCTGTGAAGGGTTATTTACTTCAGTTCTGTATTTCCGGTATCCAGTAATTTGCCTCATGCAGAGTAAAGGCTTGTGGAAAATCACTCCTGCTCTCTCTGCTGAAACATCCTTTCGTCCCTCCCTGCTTGTGAACTCTTATTGGTCATCCAATACCCAGGTTAAATGTCATCTCACCTATGAAATCTGAGTGTCTTCTCTGGCTCCCACATTCCCTGTTCAGACCCAGGACTAAGCCCCTTGATTTGGGGCTTCTGGCTTCTAGAACTGTGAAAGAATAACTTACTGTCATTTTCAGCTACCCAGTTTGTAGTAATTTGATACATCAGCTTCAGGAAACTAATATAGCTTAGAAACAGACAAATGTCTTCTATGAAATTCCAGCAGATGGTGGAACCTGATGAGATTTGGGATTTCTCAATTACTACCTTTTCAACAAACACCTGACTGCATACCCTAGGCTCTAGCCATGAACAGGAGACAGTGTGATATATATTAGCCATCTCTGGGATCAGATCCAAAATGTCTTCAGGCAACATTACCATACATTCTACCTTGAAAGATAGCATGCTTATCTTATTAAATATTTTTAGTGCAATTATTATATGCCAGGTCACGCACTGGGCACTATGTCTACAATGGCTTATTTACTCCTCAGAGCAACCTTGTTACTATTTTACAAATGGGAAAACTAAAGTTGAGAAGGGGAACTGGCTTACCTAGGAACATACAGCTGGGAGAGCCAGGATTCTAAAAGTTTCTGATTCCTGTTGTGTCTGAGCCTAAAATACTCCGTTCTTTCTGCTGATCAGTCAGGGTGTTGGAGAAATTAGCAAAGGAGGTAAAAGATCATTATTCTGAAGAATGACTCAATATTTATTATAGAAGCAATTCTATAGATGCTATCATTATAATCCAAGGAGGTCTTCACAGAAGAGGTGTCATTTAAATTGTGCCTTCGCTTCAAAAACACGTCCTGATTCTCTGCGAGGTACTGGGAATTCAGAAAAGAATCAGATAGAGTTCTTTTGCTTGAGAAATTAACAGTGTGTGTTTGCGGGAAGGGTATGTGTGACTGTCCAAGTGTGTTACACACTTATTAAAATACAATTGAATGCAATAGAATAATCAGGAATGTGGTAGAGGCAAGTTTTCTAACGCAGGGTCCCACAGTGAGTCTGAGAAGCCTTTTGGGATCGCAACACAAGATGAAATTTGATGGCTAAGCAAGCATTAGTCAGGGGGAGAAAAGTACCTAGCAAAGGCTTTCCAAGGAAAGCATAAACAACCCACTCAAATAAACGAAACAGCATCCCGAGTGCCTGGCTCATCCTACCAATGAGTATGCGGAGGGGCGGGGACTTATGGGTTGGAATTGGTCCTGGGTGGAGCTGGCGACATTGCCCGACAAGTTTCTGGTCTCAGGGCATCCTGCACGGTGGCTTTCTGCCGAACCATAAAGTATTCCTTTTCAATCCTCACACGTTTCCCCTAGGAAAAGATTGTTCAGGGAATCTGCAACTACAGACAGACACACCATCGCGCCCCAGCTGGCGCCAAATGGGTCCCCGCCCTCCAAGGGAGGCCGGTTACCATGGCAATTAGGTTAGGGCGGAAGTGGCTCCCAAAACTGACTCTCACTAATCAGGTGACTCTCCTGCCTCCTGCACGTGACACCGGAGCCCAGGCGCCGGTCTACCTAGTCGGACTCCGCCCCTCTTTTCCTTTACTGACAACTGACGGCGACCTCGAGCAATGGTCCTTGCGGCTCTTCCAGGAGACCCCGCCCTGTGGTAGTGAAAGAGCCAATTAGACTGGGGAAAAAAGAAGCAACGCCCCAGGTTTCACCCCGGTTTGACAGACGCAATTTAGGCCATCCCTGGGTCCCTCCGCCCCTGCCTATTTCTGCTGGCGACGGACAAATCTTCTGCCCAATAGCGCGTCCTCTTTTTGTCGTTTGGTCCCGCCCCCATGGAAGCTGAACCAATGGGCAAGCCAGGTCTCAGCGGGTGGTGGGGGTTGCACTGCGGTAATATGGCTCTTCCTTAGCCAGCGGCGGCGGCTGGAGGTGGGGTAGAACGGTCTTGCCTCTAGGTTGGTTGGTTTCTGGGCTGCAGGGTCTCGGCGGGTCGTGACTCGGCGGTTGTGGCGGATGCCGGAGGAGCGTCGGTCCCGCCGCTTGGCGGCCCCTGGGTCAAGATGAACGCTTCAGCGTCAGTCGGGGGCCCACTCGCCCCGCCGTCCACGGGCCCGGCCGCCGCGCTGCCTCCAGGTTCTGCCGCGCGGGCCCTGCATGTGGAGCTGCCGTCTCAGCAGGTAACCCCGCGGGCTCGCGGCGCTCTGGAGGGACCGGGAGGAGGCCCGTGAGGGATCTCCGTGGGCCGCGGGCTGACCCAGTGCCAGCCGGGAGACCGGGAGAATTGGCCGGGGAGAACTCCGAGGACTGAGGAGGGCTGTCTGGAGGTCTTGGGAGGGGAGGGATCCAGGGATGGCCGAATCTCTGGGGCATATTCGAGGCCCAGGAGACATCCCGTTACAGGAGATGGGAAGAGATGGGAAGGGACCCACTGAAACTCCCCGGGCCCCGCCTCCCCCCCCCCCCCCCCCCCCCGGTAGGGAGCTGGGGATTCCTTGGCGCAGACCCTCCGCTTTATCCCTCTTGGGAAGGGACCCGGGGAAGCCCTGGTGTCCCAGGAGAGATGGGGAAAGCGCTTTCTCATTTTTAACTCTTTCGCTTGCTCACAAACCGATTGGTGCTCCCTGCTGCCGGCGAAATGAGGTTTCCCGCATTTGCTTTTAATCTCCTTATTATGAAGTACTCCTATAAACTTCTCAAGAAAAATCCTTTGGGACTTCGGATTTCCTTCCTATTCTCCGACCCCCCAGAGAAGGCACTTTAGCAATTTGAGGGGTGCTTCTACATTCCTTCAAAAGAGTAACTGTGGAAGAAAGAACATTTAATGTACAGTACATATTCACGTTTCCCCCATCCTTTAGCAAGGTGAGCAGAGCTTCTTGGATCCAACTTGGATGCACACTGTAAGCAGATAATAAAGAGAGAACACCGAGTTTTGGGACCTGACAAAACTCTTTGTATCACAGACTTAATTGTAGAGTACTTCTTTCCTTCTTTCCCCTGCCTTCTTGCTATCCCCCAGGAAGAGACTTTGCAGGAAGTTTGGCATTTAAGAGACTGAACGAAAGTACCTTTCATCTTCCCCCATCCACAAAGAGGACCTAAGAAAAATGGCCAGTTGTTGAGAGTCTACCGTGTTGGGTTTGTGCCAAGTACTCAGCTGGCTGGGAGTCGATTCAATCTCCCAACTCTGGGAGGTGGCTGTTTTTTATTAGCTCCATTTTGTAATTCTGGAGACAGAGGCTTAAATATGTAAAAGCGCCTGGCCAAAGCCTTGCAGTTAGTAATTGGTGAGGCTGGGTTTCAGAATCTGGCCTCTGACTGTAGCCCGTGCACGTGGTGGTTGTGCTGCGGACTTGAGCAATCTTTTCTCCACTCTCTTCACGTGGGACAGAGTACTTTCCTCCACACCCTTCCTCCAGTGTCCCATCCCTGTCTTAGGAAAGAGTCAGACGGAAGAGAATAGAGGTTGGGTTCAGAGGGTGGATGGGAGATGGGCTGGATTTGAATACAGGAAAGTGGGGGCATGTGGGGGCTGCTAAAGGGCTAGAAAGATGGAGAGCTGAGCTACTGCGGTGACCATGGAGCTGAGTTGTTTGCAGAAGCAAGGGCTTTTAGTGCCGCAGGAGAGAGGATTTAAGATACTGGGAGAGCATGGGCCCTGGTTTTGTGGTGCTGTTGGGAAGGGAGTTTGTGGAGAATATGAATTTGAGGGTAGTGAAGTTTGGATTGTATTTACAAGGTTTCTAGGGGAGAGTGAAAGTCTGGGGGAGAGGGAGACTAGCCTCTGGAATGAGCATTAATGTGAATTTTCGTGTGTGTGTGTGTGTTGGTGGATTGTGAGAGTGGATACTGGGAGAGGCAGTGATGGGCACAGAAATCCTGAAGGAGGAGCCAAGAGGGGTTTAGTTTGGGAGAGCTTTGGGAAACTGTGGGATTAGGAAAGTGAAAGCATCATTTGTTTCATAGAGCCTGTTCTCTGATAACAGTTCCCAGTTTAACGTTGGGGGAAATAATCCAAACAAACTGTGCATGGAATAAATCCAACTGCATCTGTAAGCATTTGTCCAGTTTTGGGGTTTGTGCCAAGGGATATATAGTGGCTTAAGTGTACGGCTGAATGCTGTATGATCACTGAGTATGGTATTTACAGCTTTCTGGGGGTGTCATCCTTCTTGAATTCTTGGAAGGCAGCCTATACAGCAAAAGCATTTTTACTTTTGCTCTTGACATTAATTTTGCTTTCTGGGTCAAAATGCTCAAGATTTTAGGATATAAACATATAACATTTAAAAAAAGTAAACATATTTATTGAAGTGTTACTGGTATACAGTCAAGTGTACCAGTTATTAGTACACAGCTTGATGAATTGTCACAAAACAAAGTTATGTAAGTGCTACCCAGATTAAGAAAAAATTATTTCCATCCCAGAAGTCCCCCTCATGTCCTCTCCCATGTCTACCTTTCTCTCCAAAGGAATTGCTGTTCTGATGTATAAAAGTTTTTGCCTGTTCTTGAAAGTGTATATAAATGGAATCACACAAAAAGGTATTATTCTTTTGCTCAATATTGTTTGTGAGAGTCAGAGAATGTGTGTATATGTAAAAACATTTTTTAGTATTATTGTCTTTTTAGCTTACGGCTTTTTCAGAATTTCTAAGCTTTAGATAAATTGGAAATCCAGTTGACTTTTAAATAACACTTTGAAAATTGTGTCACTTTAATAGATTACATGCTATTTGATAAGATGTCAGTATTTTTAAACATAAAAAAGATCCTGTTGATTTAAGATTTTCACGATAAAATTGTTTATTTCCAAGCACACGTTCAGTGGTTTCTCCCCACTACCCCCAGTCTGTTTCTAAGGCAGAGTTTTTCAACCTCAGTACTGTTGACATTTGGGTTGGTTGGTGGGTCTATAAAGTATTTCGTCACCTCCGTGGCCTCTACCTGCAATATACCAGCAGGACCACCTCAGGCCTGACAATCAAAAATTGTTTTTAGATGTTGTCAAATGTCTCATAGGGAGCAAAATTTCTTCTGGTTGAAAACTACAGTTCTAGGATATATTTTTGTCTTCGGATAGAGAGTACCCCGGGTTTCCCTTGTGGCTCAGCTGGTAAAGAATCCGCCTGCAATGCGGGAGACCTGGGTTTGATCCCTGGGTTGGGAAGATCCCCTGGAGAAAGGAAAGGCTACCCACTCCAGCATTCTGGCCTAGAAATTTCCATGGACTGTATAGTCCATGTGATCCCTGATGCTGGGAATGATTGAAGGCAGGAGGAGACGGGGTCGACAGAGGATGAGATGGTTGGATGGCATCACTGACTCAATGGTCATGAGTTTGAGTAAACTCTGAGAGTTGGTGATGGACAGGGAGGCCTGGCGTGCTGCAGTCCATGGGGTCGCAAAAAATCAGACACAACTGAGCAACTGAACTGAATTGAGAGTGTATCCCTTTTATTACTTACTGATTTATCTCATCTCAGTCTTCCTTAAGTACCATTGATTCTAGTGGCTGTATTGTTTAAAATATTAGTTTACTGTATATTAGTTCCCAAAGTGTTGGACTTCCCCTACCCCCAGTCTGCCTCCAGAAAAAGATTTATTTTGTTTTGGCTCAAAGAAAGCCCACAAAACTATAAGACCTAACTAATATTTTTTATTTTAATCCACTTTTCTTAAAAAAAAAATCTAGTTAACTCTGCATAAATCCTGAACCTTTATATGTATGAGTACTAACTACAGTGCATAATAGCTACTTAATTTTGTCAGATGGGACTGCTACTTTTTCTTTTGCTTCTTTATGATCTTACTTTACCTGTAATTTAAGCATGAACTAGTCATGCATTTTGAAGGCTTGTTTTTTCTTTTTAATTTTTGGTTGAGGTTTGTAATTAGTGAATATAACCTCATTTGAAGAATAACTTCCTTCACATCTTAGGTTTAAGCATTTTGAAAAAAAAAATTTGTGTTTTGTAATAGAGGTATTTATTATGTCCTTGAAAGTTTGAGAGCGTTTCTTTCCTCCCCAAAGGCTTCCTCCTTTGGGTATAACCTAACTACATTCCTCAGATACTTAGAGCTGGGGAGGCTCTTTAGTGTTTGTTTAGGCCTTCCCTGGTGGCTCAGATGGTATAGAATTCGCCTGCAATGCAGAAGACCTGGGTTCGATCCCTGGGTTGGGACGATCCCCTGGAGGAGGGCATGGCAGCCCACTCCAGTATTCTTGCCTGGAGAATCCCATGGACAGAGGAGCCTGGTGGGCTGCAGTCCATGGGGTCACAAAGAGTTGGACACAACTGAGTGACTGAGCACATATACATACATAGTGACCCTTTTAGGGTCACTACATACATAAACATGTAGTTTTGCATGTAAGTATAGTCCTAACCTAGTTTAATCCCTTCCATTAAAATAGCTTTACAATTCATTATTACTTTTCTTAGTAGTCAGTATACCTACATCTACTACATTTTTGTATAATAATGTTTAGTTATGTTTGTTTAGGGGCTTCCCAGGTGGCTCATTGGTAAAGAATCAACCTTATAATGCAGGAGATGAGATTTTGATCCCTGGGTCAGGAAGATCCCCTGGAGAAGTAATTGGCAACTCACTCCAGTATTCTTGCCTCGAGAATCCTATGGACAGAGGAGCCTGGTGGATTATAGTCCTTGGGATCTCAAAGAGTTGACTGAGCGACTGATGATGTTTGTTTAACCCCCATTAATAGATTTTTGGTCTGTTTCCAGTTATTCTGTGTTAGATTGTTGCAGTGAATATCCATATACAGGTATCTTTGAAATCATTCAGTCAAAGAATATGTATGCACACACGTAAACATATAAATATGCACATATATACTATACATATACACGTTTTTGTTACTTAGATTTGCGTTTCAATTATTAATGTTTTAGTAGCTTCATTTATTGTATGCAAACATTACGCAAAGTTTTGTTGTTCATTCTCTGAGTCTTGTCCAGTTCCTTGTGACCCCGTGGACTGCAGTATGCAAGGCTTCCGTGTCCTTCACTTTCTCCCGGGGTTTGCTCAAACTCCTGTCTATTGAGTCAGTGATGCCATCCAACCGTCTCATCCTCTGTTGCCCCCCTTCTCCTCCTGCCCTCGAAAAAGATTGAGGGCAGGAGGAGAAGGGGACAGCGAACTCATTTATCCT